GGCTAGTTTTGGTCCATAATTTATTTTAAGCACTTGGGAGCAATGATCCAACATGTAACAGAGATTTGGGCCACCCTACTGTGAATTTTTTTCAACTGAATTTTTGTCGTCTTTATGAGATGAGGAACTACAGGCGTTAATTTAAACATGTAATATTTACAAAGTTACAGACTCTCATGCTCGTTGTCATTACCTCATTTATTCAAAGAAATTCCATCAATATTTTTCTTACCTTCGTTGCGAATATTGACTTATTCGAGGTAAGTAAGTGAAATAAACTCATAAATTCCTGATCAAAATTGTATTTTGAATAAAAATTACTTTAATTTCAAAATGCATATAAATGATGGTGTCATAAATCGAAAAAAAAGACATATCATCGATGTTTTTATTGAAAATTTTCATGCATGGTCATGGATTTATAGACACCTTTAGTCAACAAGTGCCCCTATTGCTTCCAAACTTCTATAATTGGAGAAGAAATTGATTAAAATGTCGATGTTTTCGTTAAATATAACAAAATGTTCATACCGCTGACGTACGGCTCTGCTAGGGTCAATTCCCTCAATAAGATCTAAACTCAGACAAACTCCACTTTTGGTTAGACCAAAAATTAATTTGAACACTTTTGCGACACTAATTGATTGAAATCGATACGAAATTTATAAGAGTTCTTCGAATGATCCTCGATCACATTACAAACCCTTTAATAGCATGTTTTGCAGCCGCTTTAGTTGCTTCCTTCATGTTTCCCGTTTGATTATATTTCTTCAAACCTTCAGTGGTGCTGAGTTATCAAATGATTAAAATGAATTGTTTGAATTTTTCATCCGAATTTCATTTTTTTTTTTTCAAATCAAAATACTTACGCCATCAGAATTTCGGCGGATACAAATCCGGGTATTGGGCCATATGCCCAAGTTATGATGATATTTGTCTTCTGAATGATATTTTTTGCTGTCGCACCTTTTGGATTATTTAAAATATTACGGGCCGTCTCATCAATGTTGGTGCTGATAAAAGCAAAAAGGTTAATATTTAAGCTGAGTTTTCGACATGCATGAAATAAATCAGAGACTGTTTCTCAGAGGAAAACGTATGTGAGGAGAAACGTTCTGAAGAGCCGTGGGAATCGAAAAGCATGATAACATTATCAATTTTAATGATTTCTTAGCCTTTTAATATTTTGCTCCCCTACTGAGCTTTGGAGCTAAGCTCTTCCGACTCCTCCCGCTCCGAGAAACAGTCTCTGGAAAAAATGATTCATACTGTTCAATGACTGCTTGTCGCGGATTTCTTCCTTGGGTAATATCCGTTACAATATCAAATGTTGTTGTTGTCGCACACAGAGCAGAGTTTGCCATATCAACAGCACTAATTTCAATTATACATTCATTATATTAAACATTCGATTAGTGTCAATCTGTCATAATTACACACTTTTTGAAAGCGTATTTTGCGGCCGATTTAACTGCTCTCTCTACGCTGTTAGTTTGCTCATATACATAAACACCATACAAGCCACTAAAATGATGTACAACAAAAATTTACTAATTTGGTTTTTGAATTGAATTATTTTGATTATAAAATTACGCGCTTAAAATTTTCGATCTAACTAATGCCGTTACTGGATTCAGATTTTTCATTAGGCACGTATAACCGGTGACCATCATTTCTTGCGTTATTTCCTGATTGGCCAAATCAACAGCCACAGTGTACGTTGTCGCACAACAAATTATAGCAACAATTAAACAGCACTTCATTGTTTTAATTCTGAAATTCAACTGACGCAATTAAATAGATCGATACACGTTTATGTCCATTTTATTGAAGTGAAAAACACATTCTCATTGACGACAACAGTTTTGGTGATGGTGAAACACATGTTTGAGTAATTTATAAATTTGAAATAATAACAACATTTTTCCAGAGTTCTTATTTCGTTGAATTACTGAGAATAAATGTAACTTTTTGAGGAAATCTACCCT